TAAGTAGTAAGAGATTACGATTAATCACTCTAAAATGTTTACCTTCATCTTATGTCAGTAGAGAGGGATTATTCTAAGTCAAGATAAATGGACCTCTGCTTTCTCTTTGTCCCTCAGCAATACAAAAGTTGTATATTATTTTGAATCTTTAAACAGGTTTTATAAATTATTATTTGAAACAAAATTTAAGATCTTCATTACCATTATATTAGCTCAAATTTCTTTTGTTTACTTGCTAGTATTGAAAATAACTGGTACATTATGACTGCTGCACGAGTAGGTGGGCTGGACCGGGTGGAGTCTCAGAATACAAGTGTAAAAGATTAATAAATTCAAAGTTTATTTTCTTCTTTTTAGAGCATTTAAATAAAAGCCTATTTTGAAAAATATTTTTTACTATAATTTTATTTATTTGTGCTTATCAAAACAATTTAATGACGATCCCTCTAAATTATAAATAATTTCTTTTCTAGTTACTGTCATAACGTGCAATCTGTTCTGATTTCAATTACAGGGGTCGAAGAGAAATAATTTATTCTAAACATCTCTTCTGCGTACAATATTTTAAAATCTCTGTTATTGGATTATTTACGTCGAATATAAGTTTTCTTAATTGTAAATAACCCTATATTGCTACATCGCAGTCAGAACACTGTGAGATCTAAGACCAATGAAACAATAAGTCTCGTAGATAATATCGCATACATCAAAGTCAAACGACAATAGGGGTCAAACCGTGTTTATTTGTTTAAAAATTAAAAGTGAATAATTACTAGAAACTGCCCTCTCTATAACTCACCAAGCAACTTTGTACTTCCTTATACCGCCAGCAGTAAAGAGCCACATCTCAGATCCATAGGTGACCACTGGCAACACGCACTGGTTATACAATCTTGTTTTGAAGTTTTGAGGAATGCCTGATGAGAATACGTGTTGTAATCTTCCGAACACTGCCAAGCTGAATTAAATCCGTCATTGACCTCTCGTTCAAATTTGGACTTACCTAGTCCGACTACTTGTCCTAATTAACCTTGGATTAAATATTTAAATAACCTTAAATTAAAATAAGATTCATTCAATGTGTGGAGTTTACGTTATTTAAACCTCATTATCTAGACACGCGGTAGCGTAAGTTAAGAACTAGCCAAGTCAGACCTTAGGCTACAATATATTATCCTAAGTTATATGAAGAAATGATATTTTATGTTGTTATAAATAAATTTCAGGACTGACCATTGAACTTGGCACCCATTTAGATCTCACTTCTTTTGTCGTTAAAGTCAACAACCAAGGCATATATCATAATATTGAAACTCATTTAACATTTATGTTTTTGATGGGATGAATACTATTACGTTCATATTTTTCACGGTGAGAACTACGGAAATGATTGCTAATAGTGACTCAAGTAACATTATTTAAACTAAACCTCTGTATTACGTTGCAAAGGATTATTCTTAAACACTTTATGTTACCTTCATCGTACGTCAGTTTAGAGGGATTTATAATAGAACTTCGCCTTTCTTTACTCCCACAACAATACTGTGTCAAGTTGTTTTTGATACTAGGACTAACAATTAAACTATTAATCTATACAAATAAATACAATTGTAGTGTCTGTTTGTAATTTCAAAATAACAGCTTTTTACTAAATGCATATGAGCAAAGCACAATTTTAATTTTTTTATTGTTTCCAAACCTTTGCCCGCCGTTCCACTAATGTTTAATTAAAAACCGACGAATTTTCTTATCAAATTATCTATATAAATAAATAAAATTGAAGTGTCTATTTGTAATGTCAGAATAACAGCTTTTTACTAAATGCATATGAAAGAATATAATATAATGCATAATATGTGGTACTGTTATGAGCTTGGGGTTCGTGACAGTATAGCCGATTGAATTACCAAAATGACACTTTAATTACCGAACACCAATGACAAACCTAAAACACATTAATAATAAAACACAATTGTACTAGCTTCACTTTAGTTAGCGGTTATATCGCTTCGAAGTACTCGCCTGTATCGTCAATTCAATACTGACTGACTAAGACATGTTTATCTTAAGCATCATCTGCCCCATAATAACGGCCCGGTCGATCCACATGGACAATCTTAGGAATACTTCTTGCACCTTTCTGCATCCGATAGGTTACGTCATTGATCTTTGTCACAATCCAGTATGGTCTGTCCCATTTGGCTTGAAACTTAGGATATTTCCCTTTGCTGCGAACGGGATTTTGCAACCACAATAGTGAACCTTCGTCGAACCCTTTGAGTTCATTTTGCGATCATACCGGGTTTTCATATTTTAAAACGTTTGCTGGCCCGATTGTGTGACATGCTCATAAATGTCGTTCATTTTGTTCCCCAAATCATTTACATAATGGGTTATACTGCGTGGGGCATCAGGTGGTATTCCGGTAATCAGGTCTTCAGGCAGCCGTTATTCTCTTCAAAAGTTTGCAAAAGCTGGTGTCACTGATGTATTTTCGTGAACATCGCTTTGATACGCACCTTTAATAATAAACCGCAATAATTCAAAAATCACAATTGTTGGGAAATCGTATTCAAAGTTTGGCCAGTACGACTCCCTACATATTTTTATGAATAAAAATAAATTTAGGTAATATACAAAAATGCTTGTAACATTTTTAAATTCTCTATAAATTGGTCTTCCAAATGATAATATTTAGTCTTTTTATGAATTTGAAAAAAACATAGCTTTAAATATAGTAAGCAACTTAATTCATTTTGTGATTAAAATTAAAATTGAAATCTAAAATTTTATATGATACAAAATATATTCGTGCATTTTATTATTAACATATATGTTTATAATTTGATGTATTAAGATATAATGCTCTTTGCATAAATTAAGAAGGTAACCGTTTAGTCCTATTTCTTAAAACGACTTTATGATATTAAAGGAAGGCGGCTTTTTCAAAGAAAATTCATTTTATTATTACGCATTACACTTTAATTAACGATGAGATTCGGTATAAATTTAGAAGAACGCCATTATAGTTTATTCTTACTTAAATCTCAAATTTATACTTAAGAATACAAGGAACTTTACTTCGTGAAAACTATAAATTAGCACAAAAATTAGCAAAATATCTAGATCGACTTTCATTGTATTAATATCTAAATCAAAAATTATTTTACATAAACAAAAATATTTGAAATAATATATAACATAATAAACCAAAGTTCAAAATTCTGTAGGTAACTCTCTACAACACGCAATAATTATTATTGCTTATTTTTAGGAAAAATGATCCATTCTGAAAATCATATATCCAGTAAAAATGATGAAAAAAATATTATCACTTATTTATACTCATTGGTGAACAGGATTAATCCTACAAAGGAGTGGACAAAATAGTTAAAGTAAGCATTATAGTAAAAAGAGAACTTTTACAATAACATGTTATAGAAATTTGCATAGTAAGGAGGAATTAGTCCTTTTGTGAGGAGTTCCTTCAAGTTCTTTTTCTTATTGGAACTTAATGACTGCTTTTCGGTATATGCTTGTTTTAGCTGAACTTCATTTTCGCGCTTGATCTTTTTTCTCTTGTTTCACACGGCCACCTCCTTGTATGATTGGTCCTCATATGAATTCTTATAGTAAAATTTAAAAGGATTACCCTTATACATACTTAATTGTTTTATCTCATTGCACTTCACTGTCTCTCCAGCAATATTGGTATGAAAATTATACCCCCAATCCTCTTGCAGGTCAGATTTATAAATGAGTCGAATGTCATTTTGTAAACGTTTATAGGTGGGCTATTTTTTTTGCAGACTTGATCAATGCAATATATTGATCAGGGGTATAAATTGGTCCTGACTTAAGGTTTTTTTTAATTTCCGTTTCAATTAGGCTATGCACGCTGTCTGCCTCATTCTGTGTGTGACCTCTGATAAGGAATTTATGAGTAACTATTAATGTTTAATTTTTGTACAGCATACAAATACAATGTTGCTATAAATTTGTTTTTATTCTAACCGCAACAATTATCAGAATAAAAAATAATATTCTTTGCTGTTGTCCCTTATTCGCTACTGATTTTATTTAAATAATCCCGCACATGATCCGATTTCAATAGCCCCTCGTTTTCCGTCGACCTCTGTCCAAAAATAACAGTAAACGTTATTATAAGCATTTCTGTTATCCTTGTTGTTAAGTTCTGTTAGTGATAGATTATAGCTATTTAATTTAGACTTATAATAAAAAGCTGACGTTTCTCCCCTGAAACATTTCAAAACGGCTTCTAAGTCGTAAAAAACGACCTTGTTCACTACATCTGCTTTAATTCTATCATTTAATTTTTCCTTTCTACTAAGCTCCTTCTCTTTTAAATGCATTTGATACTTATCTTCTATGAGCAATTTTTGGCTACTGTTAGCGTTCTCATAACTGACACATAAATCGCACTGATCCTTTTTGGGGCGAAAGAAACTTAGATCATAGGCTGTGTTAAAGATTTTGTAATAGGTTATGTAATTAGCGGCTTCTTTACCATTATCATTTTGTATCTTAACAAAATCTTTTTAAAGATCTTTAATTGTTTTACCACCTTCTATGTATTCCCTATTGGTGTTTGACCCAATATAATGTGATTCCATCCGAGGAACGGATTCAATATGTTTTTTAATGTCAGCCACCAATTCAGGATCTATCTTTTTTGTGACCATGTTTCCCACGCCTTTCCTCCATCAAAAATACATTATCGTTTGTATTTATTCTAATAGTATGTTTCATGCGATCAGTTATATATAACGTGCTTTTGAAAAATGTTTTACATACTCTTACCTAATTGCCATTGACAATAAAGAAAAAAGCCTTGTTAGGAATATCAAATATACACGAATTTATGAATGATCTCTGTTGGCTTAGGTCTCGTAGTTTCCAAAAGTTATCAGAAATGACGTATCTTACTGAGTCATTAATTTTTTGACTACAATTCAGTTTACAATTTGAGCATGGCAGTTTCAAACATCAAGCTGGGAAGATTTTTGAGTCTTAGACATAGATTTGTAGGATTGACCCTTGTTTTGCTTTATCTTTATTCGGTTTTGTCTCCAGTTTTCTGGACGTTTCCGCCTCTTGCGACCTTCTTTGACGTGCTGGTCTGTAGAATCAGTATCTGAGTTCGAATGCGATGGTAATAAATAATTCTTATTTATATGACCAGAAAAGTTAGCAAATTTGTCCTCAAAGTTGTAAGTTGGGTCCTCTATATCGTCATCTAAATCACTCTCATCAGTGTATCGAGGGGAAATAATAATTGGATCATTCCTAGGACACAATCTTCGCTCTCGTACGCTATTATCGTATACCTGAAAATAAAAATGTCTTAGAAATATAAGAACTAGGTTTAGAAATAAAACTATTAATGAAGAATATTACATGAAATGTTCCATCATTCTTTGTTGTATTGTTAACAGTATCCTCCAATTCAGGTACAGGTGTAGTTGTAACGGCTATGTCATTTTGCGGTTGGTTCTATATATAAGCTTGTTCGTTAGTTATTTCTAAAGAATCTGAAGACGATGAATAAGAGCTCGACGAAGAGGAATTTGAAGTTGAGCATGATTAGTGCCGTAAGTTCTTGCTTACTTGTGGCTTATCTTCGTTAGAAGTACCTTCGCTATCGTAGTTTGGTACAAGATTAAGTTTTGTTTGACTGACTGATTGATACTGAGTAACATTGTCTACTTTTTGGAAACTGACAGTTTCAGCAACTACATGCGTGACCTGAAATTTTGCGTTGTTAGGTAAATAGTACAGTACTTAAGTTAAAAATGCAACATTTGTACATAGAAACTTACTTCTGGTAACTATATTCTCTTGACTTACTTGCTGAAACATTGGCTGAAATAAAATAAACTTAATATAAATTCGATAAAATTATAACATTGTTATTAGGTTACAGTGCGAAATGATTTGTGCTTGTCTAAAAGGCACTACAAAAATATCATAAAAAATATATACTTAATTGCGTCTGCCTGCAAATGCATTATGCGAAGCTTACTTGTGCCCCATTAAAAGAGTGGAAATACTAACTTCAAAAGCGCATATTATTATTAAGTTGGTAGCACTATATCTACAACCTAACATTCTAATGAACATAGTATTAACAATATTTAATCCAATTACTTACAATATCACCGGTATCCTGTTTTACGCATTCCGATAAGCTGGCGGATGTGTGGTCAGTATGGGATTCCTTAGTTTTCAAAACCAAACCCAAAATTCTTCGACTTCTATGTGACATAACTTTTGAGTACTAAATATCTTATAATCACAAAGAGAAATAACATTAAATATGAAACAACATCTTACTGCTTAATATACATTAAACCGGCACTAGTCGTATTCTCAAGTTTTATAGTAAAAGAAAATTATTAATTGATAGAAGTAACATTTAATATTTTACTAAGCAACGGAAACTTTTAGCAATAAATTGCAACAACTTCAAAAGGTCCTTGCGAGTAATGATAATATTTTATCCTAAACTGAATTAAGTCTATTTATTGCACAATAAAATAGCAGTGTTTTTAAATAAAAGGAAACAATTAAAAATAAATCAGTTTTAAAATAAAATTCTAGTATTGCAATTCATTACCTGTTAAACATAAAACGAACTACTGGGTTTTACCACGCGTTTACAATCGTCTCACTTTTGTCACTGTTGGAGCAACACTAAATGGCGTCGCTTTATGAATATTCATTGGCCCGCTGCACAAATTAAAAAGTGATGGAAAGTCTTCTATCTCACTTGTAGTTTTTTGATTTTAACGGCCGTTAAAGTGTACATATTCTCTACGCGGAGTTAATGCGTTTTATAATTAAACATCGAAAAGTCGTTTTTTTGAATTATTACGGTTTATTATTAAAGGTGCGTATGACAACAAAAATGGCTGTATGTGCTTGTCCCAATCTTGTTGCCAATTTTCCACAACTTTTGATAGGTATTTATCCAATGTCTGATTAAATCGTTCTCATATTCCATTAGATTGTGGGAGAAGTTGTTCTTGTTTTATGAGTACCCATAACGTTTCCTGGAATAATTGAGACTCAAAGCTCCTTCCTTGATCGCTGTAAATCTCTAAAGGTACTTCAAAATGACAGAAGACATCATGAATTATGTATCTGAAACCATTGAAGTCTCCTGATTTTGAATGGCGCAGACTTCTGGCCTAGTGGAGTAATTATCACAACCATGAAATACTTGTTACCACTTTCACTTTCCGGAAACGGCCCCACCACGTCAAAGGTGGGTGGTCACTTGGCCCTATGGTGCACCAACGTTGTATAATTTCAATGCACCTCTACTACGGGTCTAAGGTCCCTTTACAACCGCACAAGTTGTAAATTTTTCGACACCAGTCCTCAACATCCTCATGGCAGTGAACCCAGTAAAACCATTCTCGGATCTTCAGTGGAATTTGTTTAACTCCCAGATGGCCTCCTGAACAACCATTATCGTACCGCTGTAGAACATGTAGTACTTTAGCTTTAGGGGGCAACCATTCCATCCACTACCAATCCCATGTCAACCCTTGAGTGTCGTAAGAGATGACAGAAGAAGCAAAATAGGAGCAGCGTCTTCTTAATGACGACTAAAAATAAAAAACTGTGATCGCCAACCCGCTTGCCAAGTGTGGCAACTATGGCAAATATCTCCCCTATGTGGCAATCTATGTAGGCTTGTTCAGTAGTTGACTTTAATAGGCTGTAACGGTGATGTTAATGTGTGTGTAAGACATGTTACTTATAAATTCTAGATTTCTGCGCTCCTTATATACTGTAACTGAGGTCAAATCTCACAATTCTTCGTGCGAAATATTCAAAAAAAAAACTACGAAGTTTTCTCTTGAAGTATTAATTTATAGATAAAATAAAACGTTGAGAAAGAAATCAAAGTTAAAGGAATAGATAATTTATAACTTTTCACAGCTATAGTTTAATATTTTTTTTTGTAAAATATCGCAAAAGAGCATAGTAATCACAAAAACCTACTAAAAAGCCATATATTGTACAAAGGGATCGGACCATCATTTACGTATTAATGTATATGGACTCTAAATCATTGTTAATGTTGACATTGCAGATTTTGTAGAAAATTTATTTACACTAAGATATAATAAATATTCAGATTATGGTATCATTATGTATGTCATAGAAATTTAAACAATTTATTTCAAACGTTAATGTTAAAGGAATTTTAAAAGTTATAATTTCATAGTTTTATTTTCAAAACACAGGAGCAATTTTTCATTCTTTCTTTCTCTTTCTACTTCACTCTATCTGTCGCTCTCTCTCTCTCTCTCTCTAATCCTTTATCTCGTATTATTTACTAGTTTTATTCCCTAATGTTTAAGCAGCTCTACTTTTAATCCATTTTATTTTCCATAAAACCAAATTTTCAAATCCAAATGAATATGGAAAAATATTTTATAATTAATGACTTAACTCCGACTGCATGAGGTCGCTTTACCGGGAAGGATATTAAATTTCAGTGGCATTTCATTAAAAACTCACACACACATTACAACTTTGAAAACTTGCTAAGTTTGATCTGTATATTGTTTAATAAATTTATTAAGTCACTTTAACACTGTGCTCATCAAGACAGTACTAATAACGTGTAAGCAAGGAAGTTGGTACAATTCATACATATCAGTTATTTTTTCAGATAACAAAACTTACAGCTTGACTGGATGTTGACCTGTTGTTTGATATGTATATTTTGGTGGAATTTCCCCTTACACTCGTTAATTATAATAATTAAATTTAATTTTAATGTATCTTGTCGATGATTTCTACTGAAAACATGAATGTTTGAAGAAGTTTTGTTAAATTGAATCAATTTAGTTTGTAGAGGTCAAGGCAGTAAAAAAGGATATAACGGAGCTTCATCTTTTGGGATGCCGTAAGCTCGAAATAAAATGGGATTTATTGCTTCATTTAACGCCTTAAACGTTAGATGATTTAATATTTCGTTATATTTCCACTTCCACTACTATACATTGATATTTTTATTACGGCGATGTAAGTTTGATGTCAATTATAATATGTAAGATATTTTTTTCTGGTTGATTTAAACAACGGAGAGAACTTTTGGTTTAAAACTATTATAGTTTTTTCATACAAAATATAGAAAGATATTTTTGAGTTAATAATTTTATACTATGAAATATTTTATAATAAAAGTTGACTAAAAGAAATGCTTTGAAAATTATTTTACATTAATTCTGTCAATCATGGTATCTTGTTAGCTCTTCTTTCTCATTTGAATATCTCGTCTTGAGCTCAGGAATGGTTCTCAACATATGTTCGAGGGCGCCAACAGGCTGTTCGTACTGGCCATATACTACCTCTCAAGGCTAATTATCTCTCCTCTTCTGTTTTCCATTTTTATAAATCTCATCACACTAAATCTCAAGAGCTCTTACCATTAATATGCTGATGATCTGCAGTTATATGCGCAAGTGGAACCTTCAAATATCCTAAGTGCTATCTCACTGTTAAATGATGATTTGAAATATATCTCAGAATGGTCTACGATAATCTTAGGTTAAGCTTTAGCTCAAGTTTATTATCTAAACCAGATATTCCTACCCTACCATCAATTGTTTAATAATAATGTCATACCATTCTCTACTAATGTAAAGAACCTTGGTCTGTACTTCGATGGTTGCTTAACATGGAACAAACATATACAGGAGGTGAGTCGCAAAACTACTGGAACTTTGCGATCTCTATATCGATTTAAAAACTTTCTTCCCACAAATACAAAGATTTTACTTGTCCAATCACTTATTGTACCGATTATTGATTATGTCGATATGTGTTGCTCAGACCTGTCTCAACTTCATCTTAATTCATTGGATCGTCTGCTTAACAACTGCATCAGATACATTTATGGTCTTCGTAAATACGAACATGTACTCGTATCTTCCTTTCGTATACAGCTAAACTGGCTGCCTATCCGTCAGCGCAGATATGTAGAATACTATGCACCCTTTTCTCAATTTTGAACGATCCGTGTGCTCCCGAGTATCTGAAATCTAAATTTCAATACCTGGGAGATTCTCATAATTTTTCTCTCCGTTCCTCGGCCAATCTTAAGTTGCTCACTCCTTTACACCGTACTGGTTATTTATCTCACTCTTTCGCCCTCATGGCCATCAGACTCTAGAACGACATTCCTCTTGACATTAAAAAAGCTCCCAACAAATTCGTCTTTAAAAATCAAGTCCCTAAGTATATGATTATATCGTTGCAAGTTTGAATTTCTTTTTCGATATTTAATTTATATTACAAAAATTATAATAAAGAACTTAACTAAAATAATAATTAAAATTATAATATTAACGATTAAAACTAATTATATACAATATAAAAGAAGAAACTATAATAAAGAAAATCTAAAACTAAAAATTTAAATCGTCAAAAAGACCTGCTCCCCGTGGTATAGTGCCAAGAACGCTGGCTGCGTTTCCTCGCTGAATAGCTATGCTTAGCCTTTGAGCGAGGAAAGAACCAGCCCTCTTATCACCAGCAGCGACGACCAGTCGTGGATACAGTTCCTTTAGAAACTTCATTGCACGTGACCCCACGGACCGATAGTCTCTACAGCAAATGGCACAAATATGTAGTCATTTCTCAAAGACTCATATTTGCGCCCTTTACTAAATTCGACTGCCTCTGATGCCGCCCCCGGCTCTAAAAGAGGTACCCTTGAGATGAGAGGCCGCCAAAGTGTCAACGCAAGTAGCATCCCACACTAGGGCTTTACCTCTCTCCCAAGGGACCAAAGTCAGACCGTCGGGTCTCTTGCTATCGTCTCTAATTATCCCGTA